ATGTAAGCTTGCTGATAAGGTCACTACAGGATTATGTAAGTGCGCTAACAAAAAAAAATGCTATTGTCCATACCATAGCAACCAATCAGAATCCTTGTTTCTTTTCAACTCTGCACGCCAGTAATTGCTTTAGACAGCAATAAGTATTTGGAAGCCAATTGGTTGTTGAGGGCAACAAGAAATATTCTTGTTAGCACACTTTTCATACCTAAGCCTCTATAACATCACAGAATTGTTTTGTTGTACTACAAAAAAACCTTGAGGAATGGACAACATGCATCATTCACGTGTAAATGAATCTGCTGAATTCATCCTAATTTACTAAGAGTGTAAAACGTAATCACATAGTAACGCAAAACATAATAATGAAAAGCTTCAATGGTGTTGTGTTCTTTGTAACTAGACATGGGAAAAGATTGCAGGCATGAGCAGGGCAGCCATCAGAAATTTCGGGGCCCCTTACATGGCTTTAGACCGCCCCTCACCTTTCCCCCGCACCGCTGCCCCCCTTCCCCCGCACTGCCGCCACACTGAGCCAGTCACACTGTTATTATTCTACATTTATGTGGATAACCTCCTTATGTATCACTTTCCCCTCCCTTTTAGATTGTAAGCCCTCACGGGCAGGGCCCTCCTTAACATCTGGTCTTGAATTGTATTGTGATTGTAATGTCTTCCTTATATTGTAAAGCGCTGCACAAACTGTTGCCGCTATATAAATCCTGTATTATAATAATAATAATAATACATTTATATAGCTCTGACATATTCCACAGTGCTGTACAGAGAACACTGAGCCATTTACACCAGTCTCTGTACAGAGGAGCTTACACTCTAATGTCCCCCCAAAGTCACACACTATTATTATACATTGATATAGCTCTGGCATATATCACAGTGCTGTACAGAGGACACTGAGCCAGTCACAACAGTCAAGCATGGAGCGGTGAAAGTTAAAAAAAAAAAAAAGTGTGGTGTGCAATAAAGTGAAATGGAAAGGGTAAAATTATACAGCAATCAATGCAGAATACCACCAACTATATAGCACTACAAATCCCAGCAATAATACATTATACAGCACAATACAGAATACCACCAGCTATAGAGGAATACAACACATCTTAGCAATACATTATACATACAGTGTATAATGTATTGCTGGGATTTGTATTCCTCTTTAGCTGGTGGCACATTATACAGCGCAATATACCATTAGTGATGCTTACTCTCTATGGTGGGCTCTGCAGGGGTCTCAAGTGGACTGGTCAGGGCTTCATCCCCCTCTCTGCCTCCCTCCCAGCTTCTCTTACCTGCTCCTGGTGCCTGTACACCTGGCCTCCTCTGCTGCCGGACTGGAAGTAATGTCACTTCTGTCCGGTCCCACATCAGACGAGCAGCGGTGCTGATGGGGCCCCAGCCTGTCTCGAAGCTGCTGGATCGCCAATACTGGGGCCCTGCACTGCTAGAGCCAGGCCTCCTCCGGCGCTGCGGGGGCCTGGCCGCCTCCTCGCCTTTCACTGTCGGCCGATACTCATGAAAGGGTCCCGGACGGGCCCCCCAGGCTGCCTGGGCCCCTTACATGAGTATCGGCCGTACCCCCCTGATGGCAGCCCTTGGCATGAGACCTAAAGCTGACCATACTCTATGCACTCTGATTGCCCAATCTCCTTAAAATGTATCGGTAACTATGTAGTCCAAGGGCCTGCACAATTGGACACAAAGTGAAGGGATTGTTTTGGTCTGCCCTGCTGTTGCATGGTTTTGGTACCCTAAGAGGAGCCTTCCACACATCTTACGCTATCATATCTTGGTCATAAATGCAGGGATCCCAACCTGAAATAAGTCATTTCAGGGAGGTGCCCTTCTCATTTCAGGGAGGTGCCCTCTGTCACACCCCCCCCTCCACGGGGGAGGAGGTGCAACAACAAGGAAGAGAGCACCCCCCTGAAATGATGGCAGATAGCAAAGAAGCAAATGCTTCCTTTGCTATCTGCTGCTTTTTTTAGTGTTCTGACAGCTGCTGCTGTCAGAACACTAAAGGACAGGACAAAACAAAACGGCATAGGAACTAATAGCTAGATTGGTATTGGCTATTTCAATTAGCAATAACCAATAGCATGCTGGCTATTGCACCCAATCAGCAGAGGTGGACCTGATGGGGAACTTCAGGTCCACCTCTACTGATTGACAGCAGCAATGGGCGGGTGCAATAACTAGTCTGCTATTGGTTATTGCAAATTGAAATAGCCGATAGCAATCCAGCTATTAGTTCTTATGCTGTTTTTTTTTTTCTGACTGAAGGCGGCCCCAATGTCAGAAAAAAAAAGACAGTATGGAAAGGTTTACTCTGCTAGATAGAGCAGAGTAAACCTTTCCGGGAGAAAATGTTTTTCTCCCGGGTGTCCGGGAGCCGCTATGTAATAGCGGGAGACTCCCAGAACATTCGGGAGAGTTGAGATGCCTGTATATAGGGAGTCTTCTCAAGAATGACAGGTATGGAGACATTGGAAAGCTTGTCTGATGAAGTGGAGCTCAAGAAGCTCTATAATGCCCATGGACATACAAAGGCAAGGATCAGCCAGTTTACACCCAAAGCTCTGAGCCAATAAAATGCTTTCAATGGGCAATGTGTAACAGGGTGTTAGGGCCCAATTGTTGTGGATGTCTGTTGTAGTTTTCACCAGCACCACTAGATGTCTCTTTACATTAATGACATTACTGGGTCTGAAATGTATTTATTACAGGCAGAGTTTTTTTCTGGCAGTACACTTTGATACGCAGAACCGTTACATACCGTCAGCCCTTGAATTTTTTTTTCGTTTTTTGTGTGCGATATAGAAATTAATGATGGTACTTCCCCCTCCCTTTTAGATTGTAAGGCCTCAGGTGCTGGGCCCTCCTTACCATCTTGTCTTCAATTGTAATGTCTTCCTTATATTGTAAAGCGCTGCGCAAATATAAATCCTGTATAATAATAATAATACCCTCCCAGCCAGCGTTACCACCCTGCTTGGGGTGATGACGCTTGTCTTTCACCGTGTCCGTACACTTGCCATACAGATAATGTGCAAGTGTCCGTATGGCAAGTGTACAGACACGGCTCTAGAAGACAAGCATCATCACCCTGCCCGGGGGCATGATGCTTGTCTTCTGGAGCCGTTTACCACCAGAAAGATGGCTGCCGACAATAAACCTCATTGCCAGCAGCCATCTTGCGCATGCTCAGAGTGACCCTGCTACCACAACCAAAAGTTGAGGTTTAGTGTTGGCGGCCACATTGGTTGTGGCAGCAGTGACGCACCACACATGCGCAGTTTGTCCCTGCTCACAACAAAAATGGCCGCCTCATGCTTTTTGTGGACAAAAAGGTGCCATGAGTGCTGGCACTTTTTTTGCCCAGAAAAAAAGCACTGATTACAGGTATTTATCTAACGGCAACAATGTACGCAGCGATTCACATAGTGCACACTTACTTCAGTCCCTCCCCTCAAGGAGCTTACAGTCTAAGGTCCCTATCTCACACGTATACATACAGGGACATTTTAGATAGGAGCCAATTAACCTTCCAGCATGTCTTTTGGAGTGTGGGAGGAAACCAGAGTACCGCACGGATGTGCAGTTCGGGTGAGCGTAGGGTGGCGTACGGCAGCGTACTCCCGTAGAGAAGAACTGGCAGCACCTGCCCTTCTTTGGAGCGGCCTGATACGGTCGTGCACGCACCACGCATCTGTACGGGCTGGCCGTTTCTCGTGTGAATGAGGGCTAAAGCTTCCTCGCACAGGGTGCCTAAAGGCCTAAGGCTGGCCCTGACCCGAGCCATGGCTACCTTGTACAGCCGACCATAGAAATCAATGGTTGTGTATATGTTGGGGAGCGTAGGGCGGCGTACGGAGGCCTACTCCAATAGAGAAGGACAGCCTGCTGCGTATAATCACAGACAGCACCAGTCCTTCCTCGGAGCGGCCCAATACGGTCATGCATGCCACACGGATCTGTACAGGCCGTCCGTTTCTCGTGTGAATGAGGCCTTACAGTGCCTATCAGTGACCTCACCCCTCAGTGGCCACACCCATTTCTCCAATACCTGCACCATTTAAAGACTCCCATTTTGTTAAGCCCCTAAGAAGCAAAATTTAAAAAAAGTATGATAAAAAATAAAACTTTTATCCAAAGGTATTACACTTGTAAGCACAATATAACTATGCAGGGGAGTGGCTTTGTGGAGACACAGAGGGGAATTGATCAAAACTGGAGCAGACCCAATTTGGAGCAATTGTCCACGGTAACCAATCAGCTTCTCCCTTTCATTTTTAACTCTTAACTGACCAAACTGAAGAGAGAAGCTGATTGCTTACCATGCACAACTGCTCCACATTTTGTTTGCGTCAGTTTTGATGAATACCCCCAAAGTGTTCACTAGTGCATTCAAGGGTGGTTCCGTAGGATCCTGCAAGGGAAAGGAGTCACCCTAAAACATGCTCAGGGGACCAGCTGGTTCTGCAGGAAACTAAACCTTTAAAACACTAGGAAGCAGCGTCCATTGTAAGTGATTTCATCAGCATTTGAAATAGCTTAACATCCTTTTAATAACACTTTAATTTAAATGTATTTTTTCCTACAAATGTCGATTTAATAAACATTTCCGCAATATTCCTGCAATATAAAAAATTGCATTCAGCATTTGCTTATTCAACGGGGTCTCTGCTTCTAGAAAATGTATAATTTGGGGGTTTAAACAGCTTTCAGCAACAAATAATTTCAGATTTCTACGTGTGCAAAAAAATGTTTTGCATGAAAAACCGCACCGGCAGCGAAAAAGGTTAAAAAACTAAAAATGAGGGTCACCTATCAACGACACGGTCTGTCCCTGCAGGACAATGCAGACAGACGTGAGCCAGCCCAGCGACAGTCCGATTGGTAGTCACTGCCACACGTTGCCGCCCCCCCTCCCCCGTCTCCAGGCAACAACACTGCATACACGGAGAGCATGCTGGGAAATGGAGTTCAGTCACCGACAGGGTCATGCCATTGGCCGCCACGCGGTGCATTTCGGGAGGTGGAGTCCGCTCTCCGTTCAAGCGGCAGACTGGCGGGCAACAGTGGCGGTATAGACGGATGTAAACAGTGCGGAGAGACCGGCCGGGCAGCCGGGCCCTGACAATGATACACGAACTGCTCCTTGCCCTGAGCGGCTACCCGGGCAGCGTCTTCACCTGGAACAAGAGGAGCGGCCTGCAGGTTGTCTATGAGCGCTGTCATGTGTTATCTGGGTGCCTGTGTAGTAGATGTAGGAGAATGGGCAGATCTTGTCATGTCAGTGCCTTCACCTTGTCAGCAGGGTTGTTGTAGGTGGATGCAGCCTTGTAATAATGTAGTTGTGTTCCTCTACAGCCAATGTTTCACTATGGATGTACAGACTTGATCCACCTCTTGTACAAATGTAATAAATACATCCAGAATATCTAACAAATCTGCATTTATGACATTTTTGTATTGACGTATGCAGAGCATTGCCACTGTGATCAGCGGGCGCAATGCAAGGCTCCTATATTGTTTGCATCAGGTTTGTAGGGGGGGTACAGACCTTCCCTCATGGTGCTGGAGGAAGTAAACAATGGTGACACCTCCATGCTTGTGCACACACTATGTCAGTCCCCCTGCTGAGGTGGCAGGTAGTCTTCCCATTCACAGATCCCTGGACCTACACAGGAGCTATCGGGACACTCCGGCGGGAGGCATCCTGTGATTTAGGTAATTTGGGGCAGTTTGAGGGTGTGCTTTGGGAAATGTGACCATGCTTCATTTTATAGAATAAATATGGACATAACATAAAACACTGTCACAAAGGTGGGCTAAGCAGGTGATAGTCTAACCTTAGGCAGATGAAGAATCACATTTAAAAATATTCATTATCTGCCATAATAATTTTGCATGTATGCGATCTAAAAGTTTTCACTGTTCCCTATTTTGCTTGTTGGGGAAACAATTGGTGGGGAGGGGGGTGGGTTGATGAGTACTGCATTCCCACTGAGTTCCATTGATTACACTGGAAGAGCAGCTCTCCCAGTGTAATTCGCTGGCCTGGGCAGTCACTTTGACAGTCTGGTCTTGCATTGCACAAGACAACAGCCTCTTGTCTTGTTTGGGAGTATCTGGAGAGCATATTGGGGAGGCTTGATAACAACCATCAGGAGAACAACAGAGGACCTTCAAAATTGTAAATAGATTAAAGTAGTCACTCGCACTCCATGATATTAAAGTCAGTGCTGTTTAATAAACAGCATTGACTTTAATATCATGGAGTGCGAGTGACTACTTTTAATCTATCTACATTTCACGGAGGCATCCGTTGTCACCACCGCACCCACCCAGTTGGATTTGGGTTTTTGTCCGGTCAGGAGTGCGATGGGACAGGAGGATTAAAATTGACCTTCAAAATTGGGCGGTTCTCCAGTATGCTGGTTGAGTTAACAGCACTGTAGCATGAAGTGTAGAGGAGAAGGAGGTACTGGGGTGTCATAGTTTGGGGACCATGGCACCTCCTGGTTCCCTAAACTGACACCCCGGTACCTCCTTCTCTTTTACCCCATGCACCTTTTGCATTACCCCTTACCACATGTGATTCTACAGTGCTGTCAACTCAACTAGCAAGCTGGGGAAACTGCTAATTCTGCCCAGGGGCAGAGTGCGGGGAGGTGGAGAAGGTGCCAGTTTGAGTGCAGAGGGGCAGGGGACGGACGCCATGTTACCAACGAGTATACTTACAGTATGTGTAGTATAGTGTTTCCCACTTCATGCAGAGTAAAGCACACACTGTATTTATTCATATACACATCTAGGTAGGTAGAGGAATTATATTCTTCTGCAGTAGTTTAATTGAATACCATAAGTTCGTCCTTTACAGGAGAGTTCTACTAAATTGTGTTCATATTGGTCAGCATCTCCCTAACCTATCCTCATGGGCACCAGTTATTCTACCTGTGCATATGTCAGCTTACCTGTAAAATGTTGTTGGGACTTGAGCTCAGGCGTAGGTGACACGGTATCGCTTCTCTGCCTTTTGGCTAAGATCAAGTGTAGTATCTGTTCTTATCAGTTGCCGGTGGAAGAACGACACCACTCCTTTTCGAAGGGATTAGGATGGTGGCTTAGTATTTACCGGCGTTATTGGTGGGTGTCAGATGGGGTACAGTCCCTCCTGGTTAGATTCTGGCCCAGTTATGCTGGGCTTGTCACCGGTGGTAGGGATGGAGCCCTGACGGCACTACCTTCTGATGGGAATGGATACGAAGCTTGGTCGAGGCTGGAGGGTTGGGAGGCGGCAGAGCCCGTGGTGTTGTGCCCCTTTGGGGGTGGCGTCCCAGGGGTGCTCAGAAAGTCACTTGGGTGTGGGAACCCACTTTGACTCACTGATGCACTTGGTCACACACCACATTGCATTTTCTGCACAACGCCTCTTGGACGGGCCTTATGGCTAGTCCGGGGCAATTTTTTTTTGCACTCGGCCCCTAGGGCCTGTCAACGTGGTGCACTGGCACTATTCCTTTATTTATTGCACCTCATGCACGACTGGCACATTTTTGTGTTTTTGTAAACTTTGACCCACAGAGTGCTAGGGTGCAGGTACCTTTGGGGCCTATTCCCGATGCAGAGGAGGAGGTTCTGTGCCCTAATATAGGGTTCTCTGCCTCCTCCCGAACCAGGGGGTCTCTCTTCGGGAGAGCCCCCTACCTAGTACTTGGTGGGACCTGTTTCAGCAGGTCCCCGAAGGATCGGGGTCCGCCAGTCTCCGGGTTGGTGGACCAAAGTATCTCAACCCCTGTCAGGAGCCTTGCACCCCGGGGGTCGGGAATTCCAGGTCCCTTCTTTATTGAAGGACCAAGCACCTTTGTGCACGTTTTTGTGTGCTGTGATTTCACGGTTCACTTTTTTTGTTCACAGGGGGAAGTTTGTTTTATGATGCACGTCCCCCGGCTCTTAAAAAAAAAAAAAAAAAAGATTGTAGTTGTATATTATTGGTTGTGTTATTTGTTCATACGACTGTTAATTAGATGGTGTGTTGTTTTCATAGGTATCACAAGATCTGCCATTCCTCCATCCCGGTGAAACCAGCGTATTGAACCGCCTGTGCAAGTTAGGAACAGACTATATCCGTTTCACAGAGTTCATTGAACAGTACACAGGACATGTTCAGCACCCGGTAATAAGATTATGGACTGTATGCTCTGAAATCTCAGGATGAGGTATACTGGCAGGATTGGTCAGTAAAGTTGTACAAAGTGAACTGACCTCTAGTGACCACTGATGATTCCTCTCGAACTGAATATTGTCATTCTCTTTGTTCTGCCTTATTGACTGAGCCCACTCGTCTTTAAAATGCACTTGTGCAGTGAGAAAGATGCAAGCTGCCATTGCTGGTCCTTTGGAAACTGCCAGTTACTTGGCCGATTCTAGAATCGGTAAGGGAATCCAGGCAACTAGCATCTTTAAAAGAAGTCAGCAAGAGCACTCTACATCTTCCCTTAGTACATGTTTCCTTCACGGCATGTTAGACCTAAACCGTAAAATTGCAACCACTTTTTTCCTTTTCTGTAGATTTAGGTAGAGTGAGGAGGGTTATAAACTTGTGTTGGGCAGATTTCCCCCTACATCCTCCCCCAATGACCCAACAGCCACCAAACCCTGCCAGAGATTTTAACACTTGCCCACGCTAGTAATACATGTGCTTTTATTGTTACCTCTGTTCTCATCGGAGAGATTCTCTTCACATATTTGTCATTGATTCAACAGCAAGTGAAGGGAAGTCTTCCCAATGGAGACAAGGAGGTATGGTATCCCTCCATGCACACAGACAAAGATAAAGGAGTCATTTGTGTTGTATGCCTACACACCTGTATTGCATCTGTGTGCATGAACCCTAAAGGCAGTCTTCATTTACTTACAGCACATAAGGAATCTGGTGTTTGGAGGATATACAGGCTGTCATTTATCCAGCCAGTAATGTTTTGTGTCCCCTAAATGCGGGTTTGATATAAGCTGTAAGTAAATTAAAGGAGAATTATGAGGCAAGTGATTTTCACTCAGCCTCATAATCTGAGCCAACCTGTGACAATGAAACTGTCACAGGTCGGCTCCGTAGATCGGGAAGTGAGCGAACACATACCGTTGCGCGCTCACTTCTCGATCTATCCCTGCAGAGAGCCGTGACTGTCACTCACGGCTCCCTGCAGGGATTTCCCCCCCCC